TAAAGGCATGACAGCAACACTGCAGAACCTTCTCTCACTTGATTTCAATCGAGCAGTGGAGCAAGGTCAATGAAGCATTATGGATCCAGCAGTAATGTCGCGTAAAATGTTAACGCCATTAGGATACTTTGTAAAATGCAAAGCAGCTACGCCTGCTGCATAAAACTACGAATTAAAGCTGCAATTAAGAAGTAAAGTAACCGACAACTCTCTCATAATAAACGAATAACCCAATAACTTCTATCAAGACGCCCAGCAAACAATTCATCATAACTCATTTCAGATAAATGATATATACCAACCTTACCTTATGCTCCGGTAACAGTGCACCATTATAACATATAGTGACTCAAGGGAAGGGAAGAGAAAAGAGAAAAAAAAAACTGACCAACAACTTGATATCACCTTATTTATAAATCAAATGTAAACATCATTCCTACCAAACTACGCAAAATTGTGACCATTGAGCTGCCATTTCTAAATGACAATCGATTCTACAATCATAACTGTAGCTTAACATCATCTACAATGAGTTAAAAACGGAAGACTTGCAACGACAAAGTCTCAAAAAATAATAATTCATCTTATAAATTGTAATAATTCATATGTAAAACATAATTTTTTATCTTATTTTTTTAATTTAATTTTTCGTACTACTAGAAATATGTAAGTACTTAATGTGAATTCCGAGAGATCAGCAGTTTTAACCATCAATTACTGTAAAATTATTGCAACATGCCTGTGCTCGTGTCAGTCAAGGGTAATTAGGTTAAGCTTGGCTTGGTTGCTCGGATTCCCAACCTGACGCGTCCTCCTTAAACGCAAAAGTAAAAAACTCCTCGCACAGAACAATATTCTCCTTTTCTCTTTCATCAATTGCTCCAAAGTAACTATAAAGGTTATAAAGTGAGTTCTGTTACGTTTTTTAAGTGGATGTAAGACTTAGTTCGGTGATTAAACTATGTCTTAGAGGCGTGCATTTCACGCAAATGTAAGACTAAGTTCGGTGACTAAGCTGTGTGAGAAAAATTCAAGCAAACAAGGACACTGTAAACTTGCCTAAAAAGTAAATCAAGGAGGAACAAGAAAGAAAGGACCATTGACTTGGGTTTCAACGTGAAAAGCAGAAGCCTAATTATTGTCATTGCCACAAGTGCTCTCGTGTAAGATGAGGAACGTCGTTACGGTCAACCTTGTAAGATCTTGTGACTGCGTGCGCACAAGCAGTGGCTAACCAACGATCATAGAAGTAAGTTAAGTTAATGAAACTATAAATTGTATTACATTGTTAATGTGAATCTGAAACTTCATTATTTATACTATTTGTAAAATTTACTATTTTTGGCTTTTCCTAATTTATTCAATCATCAGATAAGACACAGCTTGGTTATTGATTTCATTGATTTTCTTAATTTAAAAAGATTCTAATAACTAAACTATATGAAACATTATAAGATCTAATAATTCTAATTGATCAGCCCATAATTCTCACCTTAATAAATAGATTGAACATCGAGGAAAAGTAAAATAGACACTGAGATAAAAAAACAAATAAGATACGCTACTACTGTATGACATAAAACATAAACTCTAAGAGTAGGTCGACGCCAGCACAGCGTACACCACTCCATACATACTGCTCGGTGAAACCTAACACCACAACGCTGAGTCAACAATTTTAAAAAAAAGTATACTGTATGTAGAAGCAAATAAGGCCATTGGGCCGACGGCTGGTTCCTGATGAACAAAAATAAAACTTATTTGTTCGTAGAACGAGTCTACGAGTTCCACCCCTTACTTTTAGAAGTTCAGACGTAACACATAAAAGGAGTAGAATTTAAGGAGGACATGAAAAAAAAACTAAAGGCCAGTAAAGAAAAGAAGGAAAAAAAATGTAGAAGGTAGAAAATTCAAGATACAACAAGATATGTAGATACATTAAAACAGAGAAATAAACGGAGTACCTAAAAAAGGATGTTACAATTAAAGATGGGAGGCTGATAGCAAGATTTAGATGCGGAAATGAGTGTGAAGGAAAAAAATACTAAGAAGAAGAGAAAGAAAAGATGTGTATACTGTGTCAGGTGGATGAAGAGGACCATAGACACATACTGAAGAGTTGTAGAGAAACAAGAAGTGAAAAGGAGATAGAAGAAGTTCTAAGCCAAGATACAAGGAAATCAGAAGTTTTGAGATGTATGGTTAGACTAAGAAATAAAATAATAAAGTTGGGTGATTAAAGATTTAAGTGTGAATACCAAAGAGGGATGAGATAAAGTATAAAGTTTACTAAAAGAAAATGCCAGGAAATAATTGAAACAATGAGAAGAGCAAGCAAGAAAGGAAGAGAGAAGAGAAAAGAAAGTGAAAAGTAGTGAAAAGAGAAAAGTGGGAAAAAGGGGTAATAAAAGATGACTGTAGCAGACAATATAAATAATTGTTTTAAATATAGATTTGTTTAAAAAAAAAAAAATTTTTTTAAATTAAAGTCTAGGCAGCCTAGAACATCATAGCAAATTCACACTAACCTGTGATAACGCTTAAAATCTGTGGTTTAGGTTTTTCAAATTGGCAAAAACTTAAAACGGCCGTATCTCCGTAAATAATGGAGTTAAAGTGAAANGATTAGTATTTAACAGTAATAATAAAAAATATTTCAAATTGTGAGAAATGTAACAGAAGCCCTTCAAATTCAAAAGGGATGGAGTATAAAATGAATAAAAAGAATTAATTAAAAAAAAATATTACTTCAAAATGTATTCAAGCAATATTTATATATTTATCACCGCATCAGCAAATGTGTAGATGGTGGCACTTTTACATGAGCACTCTTAAAACCATCCGTGTCTTCTTTTCGTATAAAATTGTATATTATTGAGCCATATTTAGATCATGGACTCGATTACGTAAAATAATGATAGTAAACTCTTTTTGCCTGAAAGTTTCGAATAAACAAATTGCTCGGACTTTGTTGATCATATAGGGTGAAACAAAAGCTTGACGTTAAGTAAGAATGAGAAAAATACTTCTTCTGAGTGTGGACCAAACGTACAACTTTCTGTTTTATGGACAGTTGCTTTACTATTTCAGCTACCAAGGAGCCGTACATTTATTCGCATCGTAGGTTTGAATAAGTTCTCATTCTTGATTTAAGCTGTTTATACCTTCAGCTCAATGTTGAATAGAAATATTAGAAAACGATTTTTATACTAGTAAATAAGTAAGAAATTTTTACTCCAAGAAGTATACAAGTAATCAAGTTTTCATTTTTCACTATAAGATCACCAAAGTCCAAATAATTCATCTATTTAAAATTTTGAGGCAAAAAGATTATACTATCATCATTTCATATCATTGAGTCTATGATTTATGTATGGCGCAGTAGAATACATTTTTTATTGACAAGAGGACACTGATGGTTTGAAGAGAGCTTATATAAAAGTGCCACCATTTTCGTATAAGCCGATAAAATGATAATTGTATAAATATTGCTTGTACACCTCTTAGAGTAGTATTAAATTCCTTTATTATCTACAAGCATTGAAATGATTTTCTAACATACCTATTAAACATCGAGATGGAGGTAAAACAGCCTAAATTAAGAACGAGAACTTATCCAAACCTATGGTGTGAGAGTATGTACGGCTGCTTGATAGTTCAAGTGGTAGAGCAACTGTCTAGCAAACAGGAGGTTGTACTTTTGATCCACATTCGGGGAGTGTATTTTTTCTCGTTTTTATTTAATGTCAAGTTTTTATTTTACCCTTTGTAATTAACAAAGTCCAAATAATTAAATAGTTTTAAATTTGGGGCCAAACGATTATACTATCATCATTATAGTTTCATATAAAGTTATTGTTCAAGCATGCACACAATTACGGATTTTCACAAATTTAATATTAATCATGTGTATGATAAAAAGTATAAAGTGAGTGTGCGCAATAAGCAGCATTAAAAAAACAAGAGAAAGCTTAGTCTTTTTTCCATTAGTTCGACTTACATTCCTTTTTATCAAGACATCTTAGTTCCCTTTATTAACCATATACATACTCAAATCTTTACTTTTAAATACTTATTTTAATCTATTTCTCCGTACTAACTTGGAGGCAAATATATGGCCTTTACACATACGAAGAAATAACATTTATTGCCTTTATATTACTTAGAATAAGATCGTAAATTATTTAATAAATGTTTTATTTCAATTTATAAGTAAATAGTTCTTGGTGTGCTCAGTTACTTTTGTTAATATTGGCCATGAATTGCTTGAAAAATCTCACTTTTTTGAACACACGTATGTCTGGAAATGTGTATCTGATTATGTGATAGGATAGTGTATAGAATGTATGTATGTTTCTATATGTGTTTTTATAAATAGGTACGTAATTATGTACACGTACAGTACGTTTGATAAACACATTGATTCAGTTAAATATAATAGGTCACAAAATTTTTAAACGTTATTGTCAATTTCATAAAATCTAATTCAAAAAGTTAATGTAAGTATTGACTCGCAGTTGAGTTGATCAACAACTTAAATATTATCAATTAAAATTTTGACTGATAAATTAATAAATATAAAACATTTTCTAAAAGTTTTACATCAGTTTGAATAATAATTGAAATACTAACCTTTTAAAACTATAAAACAGTTTCAATAAAATACGAACGACCCTGGCAGAAAATTACTACATAAACTGGCTAGAAACTCGCGAAGGTACATGAGTGAATGGGCTCATAGCATGTTGACGAGTTTTTAGCTAGTTTATGTAGTAACGTTTCTACCAGGAAAGCTTTTTGTCTAAATGTGAATTGTATTAATACTTAATCAAAATGCTTAGATTATTGGCTTTAACCGCTGGATCAAAGAAATTATAGTGTTAGTTAATCGCTTGAGCTAAAGCAAGTTGCAGCTTCTAACTAACTTTAGTACATTTTTATTAACGAGATGGAAGTAACGTTGTTTTTATTTATAACGTAACAAATAGTATGATTCTTACATTATAACCGTCGAAGGCCCAAGTATTTTCATCGCTGCCAATCATACTGCCAGGCATGCAGTCCACTTTAGCCCATCCAACTCGCATCAAACCAGCTGTCATGACTTCAAACTCGAAATACCATTTCCCACTATTCACAGCGTAGTGTTTTTCTACCCTGTAGGTTCGAAACAAAAGTTGACGTTGACGACTTGCCTCCAATAATAGAGCTGTGAATAAAAAATTATTTAAGTTAGTGTAGTTTAAAATAATTATGGATATCGTACTACGCACTAATTATCAGTCCGCTACCATGGTCACTATCCTATGAGTGAAAAACTCGCTATACGCAAAAGGATTGTACATCGGGGATGTATAATAATCGGTGACTGAAGAGTTAAAATTTGTGTGATTTATCGGGCCTTAATGTGCCAACACATGTTTACAAATAATTACAGTAAATAAATTATTTTGAAGTATACTAACCTTTCTTAGGTAAAAACAGCCATCACATACTTTACATACCAATAGAAAATTCTATGAATTAAAAAAATGATTTATAAAAGAAATTTTTACGTAGAACATTATACGTAGTAGTACGTAACACGTATAACACTACTGAGTCGGTAGATTATGAGCAAAATAGTCAAACATGTCAACGTTTCGCTTAACGCCCTTACAATAGTGTTAAAAGTTTCTTTTGCAAATACCTAAGTAAGTAAACTGTAGAACTTCTACGTCACTCCATTGGATACTGGTAAGGATAGGGAATGCTGGGTCACTTAAGCCTTGCTAACACATGATTGGATGGAGGGGGTGGTGAAAAAATAAGGCTGCTGGGTTACTTGGTGGTGGGACAGCTCTTTTAATTGCACAATCGAGTCGTAAGTGGTGGTGGGATCCAAAGATCTTTTTTACAATCACGTGGTGGCATCAGAAGGCCTTGAGCTCTTAAGTCTGAGTACTGGTTGCTAATATGTCAAGTGGTACCATAATCGAAAGATGACTCTCTTCCTTTTAAACTACGAATTGAGCTTTGATATTATAATAGCCCGATGTCTGCGAGTTACCAGAGCTGATAAGCCTAATGTACAATGAGAGACAATGATCAATCATGGAAAAGTATTTCTTTTTAGCAAATGATTTTTTCTTCTCTTTTTTTTGTAGACATCTCGTATACCAACATAATAATTTTGTAGTAAGCGGGTGTTTCGGATTGTTAGAGAAAAAACTTATATTTATTCGTCGTCCTAACTGTAGAATAAACAAGTCTTAATAACTTTTGATGCTACATGATCACCTAAGCAGCATTTCGCGCTAAAATTTCACACACATCTTACACTGTGTAAAAATATGTGTATATTTTATTAAATAAATCGTTGTTTCTTCATACCCTAACCTTAAGCTAATTATAGGAAAAAGCTACATGAATAATAACAATCATAATAATTGAAACTTAAATTTATGACAATAATTGTAAAAAGTTCCAGACAAACTTAATATTAGTAATAATGATAATATCAATGATGAGAATAATGATGATCATAATGATAATGATAACGTTGATGATAATTACGATGATTTTTATGTCAATAGAAACAAGGATAATAATATTGATGATAATAATAATGATAATAATGTTGATAATGAAAATGACGATGATGATGATGATAATGATGATGATTATAATACTAATAATAATATTGATAATANTCAAATGTTGATGTTTATTATAAACTCGTACTAGGAGCAAAAAAAATACTTTATACTCAGCAAGAGATAATCCTAGTTATAAGCTTTTTATTTTGTTTGCTAACATTTTTTTAAGAGTGGTTGGCATCTTTTTACTAGATATAAAAGTAAAAATTTTTTTATTTGTTTGACGTTGTGGGTCGCGTGCAAAGATATAAACGCATTGTTATGCTGAGGACATGTAGTAGCTAATGTTGGGAGCTCAAATAGTGCACAATCAACTACATCATTTACTTGAAAATTAAATCTTTCAACCAAGTTTTCTTGAGCTCCCAAATTACAAAAATCTTCTTTGCAGCTTTGGAGTTTTTCTAAACATTACCAATTCCAATATAATTATCATCGACTGTTTTCCCATCTTATCCATGATAGGACAGCTCTAGACATAAATTTCATTTAAATTGTGCCAAGAAAATTATGTCTGAAAGAGAAATACTTGTAACTCATCATCCTTATAGCCCACTTTTTAGCGCATAATTGTTGACAGGATTCCTTAAAACCTGGATGTATATCATACACTCGATCATGATTATGATTGACTTTACTCCTAATTTTTTTAAACTTCAGGTATGTCCTCAAACAAGTTCTCTCATGCTACTTCTGATAGAATTGTACTTTGTGATGTAATCGTATAGAATAAGACAGTAAACAGATATATTTTCGAAAAATTTCTTTCTGCCTTAAACTCTAAGCATACGTCCACTTGCACACTTTTCAAAGCATTATTTGCTAAAAGCAGTAAACTAGAATGAGAGGCATATGTGTGGTAAGACATTTTTTATTTAACATGGGTTATGATTGTTTAACTATCTATCATAGGTCTGGATAGGTTACTTGGAGATTCTTGTACGTATTGTATAATATTAACAACTGTTTTTTCGAGTGTCAAAATTAAAACTTATTTACAAATAATATTGTAAGTTTAAGGAAAACTCCGGATTGCTTATATTACAATGATTAAAAATAATAACATGAGAAGCAGCCCCATTTTTTCTGAAAGCCTAATGTAATAAAATAAGGCTTTCTTAACAGATTGAATATTTTGACTGTCCAAACTTGCTAGGGACATAGACGTTACTGTTGCAGCTTCCGATTGCGGAAACTCATAGAAATAGGTTTGTCTTTTGCAATCACATCGAGCAAACAAATTTTTCGTCTGTCTAATGCAGCTATAGAACTTTGGCTTAATCCACTCAATTAATATTAATGTGTTCTTATACTTTTTTAAAACTTTATTTGCAGGTACTTGGATAACGGCACTAATATATATTATTTCTTGGTCTTGTGAGAATCAATTTATGTTTTACGTAGATCATTCCTTTGCGTTCGTCCTCAAAGGTATTAAAACTTCAAAATAAAAATTATCATCGATGAAAATCTTTCTCTTTTCAATGTCTATCCAACCAAAATTTTGAAGCATTACACTATAACTGGGACGGAGAGATACCTAGTTATTTATGAAAGTGGTCAATCCAACATTCAAATTCTTGTCAATTTCCATACAATTTAGTTAGCATCGTATTTTTTTAAACAGGGGCAGATGGAGTTATTAACTTATTATGTTCTTGTAATACTACTACACTGGCAGTAAAAGAAACCACAAGTTATTCGCCATCAAGAGCATTTACTTTTAGGCATAGTTTCTTAATTTTTTAAGAAACTGCATCCCTGACGTATTAAACCGTATTGAGCTTTCGTCTACGACTGATTTGTATCATATATTTTGGTTTATTCTTATAGCTTTATCCAGTATTGTTGTCTCGTGTATGACTTATCAGACTCATCCTTGTCAATTTATTTGTATTTGCTATGTTAGTTTGTTTAGAGGGGATAAAAAAATTTATCGAAGCGCCCGTGTGGGCAGAAATTGTACTAGCTCTTGGAACACCAAAGCCTAAATTCTATGTACGATTAACTTTTTTTACCTCGGACTGAAAATTTGATCCTATTTAGACCTGTTACATACGTAAAAATTGTAGATGAAAAAGTAAAGAATCCATATAACTGGATCTTATGAGAATATTAGAATCAATAGTCATGTTATGAGTGATTATGACATAGTAAAACAAGTAAAATAATACGTTGTATTCTCTCTGTCATCTGCAGCGTAAGTGCAGTGCATGTCAGTTTCAAATCCTACAGGCACTACCTACACGTATCATCATGTATAAAATTATAATTACTGAATGCATTCTTGTCAAAAATGACCATATAAACTACTTTTTTAACTTATCTATAACTTTTACCAATTTTTTGGTTGACTAAAGATTTTTATTCAGTTAAATGGTACAAGATTAGCGATAAGGTCCAAGAGACACGGATCTGTGAGGTGGTGCTTGGAAAAACACTCCTAAGTTTCTTCCTAGTTCTTTTCTCTTTTCTTTTTCTTTCTCCTCTTTTCTTTCTAGAAGTAATAAATCCAACTTTATTGTTATTGAGCTTCGTTAAACACGTATATCCAAGCATATTGTGCATGAAAAAACTATTTCGTAATTTAAAAATTGCAAATATCTTGAAAATTTTTTTCAGCCGAAGTATTCCCAATGTTATAATTACAATGTTTGTGTCATCGTTACAATATTTAGGTTTATTAAGCAAAGATTATTTTTCTTATTGATTTTTTTTTAATTATCAAAAACTTTTCTCTACAGTGTTTTTCAAAGATTTTTTAATTAATTTTTCAATTTAAATAATTAAACTGTGTTTACATCACTGTACAAATAAAAGGGTCAAATTTAATCTGCTGCATTCATAGAAAATAATTTTACGATTGAACTGCAATGCAACGTACCGGTAATTTCTATTTCTTATCTAGTAATGCGGTTATTGCTATTCACTAGTTCTTCTGATCGCTTTCGTCCCTTCAAATGTTGATGTTTATTATAAACTCGTACTAGGAGCAAAAAAAATACTTTATACTCAGCAAGAGATAATCCTAGTTATAAGCTTTTTATTTTGTTTGCTAATGCTTTTTCTGGTTAAGATACGACTAGTTCTATGTTTCATAAAGGAAAATGAAAATTATTGCAATTTTATAAACAGTATTTCATGAATTGTATAGGGCAGCTTAAAAAGTACTTTTAAATTTATAAAATTTAAATCATAAGGTTGATAACATTAATTTGAACTCAGTAAGATACAAATTATTTTGTAAATTAGTTAGTGTATCAAAAAAAATAGTGTCACTAGCTATGCTTCCACCAACAAAAGATGCTTTCTTTTTATATGACTGTTCGTCAATGACTGAGATTACTTGGGTATTTAGATATATTCAAATAGGCTAATAATAAATTATCCAGTATGAAGGATAAAAATTCTACGGAAATGCAAAATTTTTTAATTTTTTCATATTTGACGAAGTCGTTATCCAAAAAAACTTGATAAAGCCGTTTTACGAAGAAATTTTTTTTTTTTCCATCTTTTAAGCCTTTTCCAGGCCTTAAATTAAGACCTAGGCCATTTTTACATATAATATATC